TGATATTGCCATGAAGTGTTTTGATGATGATCACCGCCGTGAGATCCTGGCTAGACAAATTCATGTTCTTCTTAAAAGAAAATGAGAGGTTAGATTTAACTATGTGTATAGGGAAGCTAATTTCGCTGCTGATTTTTTTAGCTAATAACGGTCATTTTGTTAATTTTGGCACACATCGATTCAATGTGTGCGACCCTGATCTTGGTTGATGATTGTTATACGATGTAATGAGCATGCTCATGATCGCTCGATACTCTCTACTATGAACTAGACGTTGGACGTCAATCTTTCAATCAATAAAAAAAGAGAGGTTAACCCCATGCCTCAGTCGCTATTTATATGGTACCTCACAATCAATTAAAAATACCATCTAATTTGGTCAATGCATACTTCATCCAATACCGAGTTATCAAAATGAGAAATGAGGTTGCGATTTTGATACATAACATACTTCATACATTATGTGAAATTATTTGAGAACTTGCTAACATTGAACCGAGTTTACCGAACTTCATGCCATTTGCACTATAAATTTGGAGTGTCAAAAATAAATTACGATTTCATAGGAATTAATTTTTGCGAAAAAGTTATGGAGATTCACCACCTTCTCTAGGCCATCAATCTCCACCAGAATATTGAAAAGAGATAAATAAATTGAAAACAAAGGTTTGAGAGGTGGTAAAATTCAGTTTCATTAATATTTAATAGCTAACGGTATCTAAAATATTTAGGCCAATGTATATTCCCCCAAAATAATCAAAATAAGGAATGATGTTGCAGTTTTAGTACTTAACCTTCGTTGATTCCCTCGAAAACTCTAATTTAAGCATGAATCTCAAGCGTTGAAGCTAAGAGTGTTTTCGATCTCTCACAAATTTTTACGAACTATATTTCCTTCTGCTAATATGATCAATTGAAATCTATCAACGAAAAAGGATACAAATGTTATGACGAGTATTTTGTGAGAATTTATAACATAAAAAACAACACCCGCTAGGTAACATTATCTTACTTTTCCATTATGTTTTACTCCAAATTCATTTGTGAAAAGAACATCGTACCCACTAAAATATATAGTTTTGGACTAAATATCGTCCTCATTGCTACTGGTTTATAAATTCAGGCAACAGTTTCGAGTTATGTGGTCAGTTGTCAATATTTAATTTGTGCTTAGTGTTTAGTGTACTTGGTGATGGAGATAATAGCGATTTGAGAAAAAGAAAAGCTTGGTGATGATGGAGATATAAATTTCAATGATAAAAAGAAAGAGTGAATATAGATTACAATGTTGATGGTTTGGATAAAATAAATTTTACTAAGTGAAAATTATGTTTCATACGGGAGTTTTGACTTTCCAATACTTAGATAATTTGAATCCTTTTCTAATACCAAATAAAACGTCACTAGTGTGGCCCCCGGCCAGTTGGCCGGAGGAAGGTGAGGTATGAAATTTGATAATATAATGGGGTGTATAGCTTATTGTTGTATAGTTTTTTTTTGGGAAATTCGTGATAAAAATAGTGAATTTTAGCAGGAAAGAGACATGAATGATGCAATGAATCAAAAATCGGCCTTATGAACCAAAATCAAGTACATGTCACCTTGTGAAACAATATTGTTTCTGGTAATATGATGAGGTGGAGTAAGTTTTACAGAAACCGAATTCCAGAAATGGAATAAAAAATCGCCTATCCCGTCGGTTTTCGGAAAATGAGCATCTCACAATCGTTGCTAGCTATTACTCGGCCCGTTGGTCGATTAATTTGCTTTATAAAACTTTCATCTTGTCGTCATTGTGCTTTCTGGTTTTTGTTAGGCCATGATAAAATCTAAGGAAATCAAGAACGAATGACACAATTTGGGATAGGAACCGCCGTTGTCGTATCCTAGAAAATGGTGGTAAACACGGACTCACCTGCCAAACTGGTTTGGATTGAGATTTTTATCGGGTATCAGGGAACCATGTGATTATAAATTAGACTTGATCAAAACGGACCAAAACTTGAAATTCAGCATGTTTGACCGACCCATGCCAAATTTTAATTATTCTTTACTTTTAAACTTTCTATTTGAAAATAAAAAATAGTGAAAGAAAAGAGATGACTGCAATTCGCCATTTGCACATCACTTATTCGAGAATAAAACCATAAAAATTCAAAAGGAACTGAAAATGTTTAGGATCGTTTTAATGTTTAAAATAACCAAATAGATCGTTCTGTTTAGTTTTTTACTAACAAATACCAAACGATTCCCTATAAAATACACTATAATTTGATCATTATGATATCAAATAATTATATAATATATATTTGAAATTAGGGATGGCAATTTCGACCTGACCCGATTTACCCGAACTGTTTGACCTGTTTTGGAGCAGGTCAAAACGGACCAAAACTTCAATAATTTAACTACATTTTATCATATTATGGTTTCTTTCTTGGTCTTTTAATGAAAATAACGAATGTTTCTAATGTTTTTCGCATAATTACATACCCAACGGGTCGACCTGCCCCTACCCGCGCCCCGTGATAAATTACCCGACCTGGACCCGACCTGCCATGGGGCGGGTATGGGTATTGAGATACCCGCCCCGGACCTGCCCCATTGCCATTCCTATTTGAAATGATAAAAATTTGACTAATTGGGTTGGTCGAGGTTGAACCATTGAATAACTTTAAAATACATTATATTTTAGCCACTAAGATATAAAATAATAGCATAATATATATTATGCCAAAGAAAATAGCTTGTTTTAGAATGACAAACCAATGATGTTCATTTGTTTTACTTGATGGCCAAATCCCGTGTAGGTCAGACCCATTCAACTCTTTTATTTTATGGTTAGCGGTTAGCCCATTAGATACCATGCATTAGTTTATTGTTAAATTTTTTATTTTTAGCAATAAAAATGAGTATTGTTTTTTCCTTTTCATATATATTTTATCACCAGGGAGAAATAAAAGGGCATAAAGAAAAAAATTGACACTCCTGGACCCGTTTAAATCCGCATGTGTACGGTAAGTTGGCCCGTTCCACAGAGGAAAGAGAAAAAAAATTAACACTCCCTATTCTACCATTCTTACAAACGCTCCTGGAGCAGGGAATTTGAAATGGGGGAAGGGTTTTTCTCTCCCTGCTATTATATGTTTTTAATTTAAAAAGATACAATAAATGTACTTAGTGTGATTGGTTATGATCCTTGCTTTTCTTTAAAATGGTCATGGTTTGAATTCCAGTACGTGTTTTTTAATGAATATAAAAAAGTAATTGTGAAGACCAAAATGTCCTTCCTACTTTCACTCTCGTTGCAGGAAATTTGAAATGGGGCTCCCGTTTTTCCCTTCCGTGTATTATATTATGTGTAGATAGATTTTCATCAAATAATAATTATTGTTATTATACCATTAATGAAATGATTGGGCCAACGGGGCGGACCAAATCTAGTTTAACATAATTCTGTTGACGTTGTCTCAATGTAGATGTTTTCCATGAAATTTGTGGGCTGGCTTCGGCTCGGATTGTCAACCCTTTTCATTGTACAGGCATACTTCAAAGCCCATTCTTTCCAAAATCAAAGCCCAATCAAGGAAGGGAGTCACTTATGAATTATGGACTGAGATTGGTTTAAGATATATATATACCCATTAAAACCTGTTCCTAACTGGGCCGAGTTCTGAACATTCCAAGCGAACGAATTAACGCCGCAATTGACGGGAACAGCCTGCTTAGGTGGAGAGCTGATGTGGCAAATTTGCATCAGGCCCGGCTTTTCTTTTTCAGAAAAGTGGGTATGAAAATGGCACTACTTTACTCAAGAGTCGAGACCCCTTTCCATCATTTCTTCATAGCAAAGCACGAAGAGGAGGAGGAAAAGAAGTGTACAAAAGCCAAAATGGCGATGGTAAAGCAGAGCACTCAGCGGCTGGTTACCCTAGTATATAAACAAGACGATGAACCTACCCATCTGTGGAGAAAGCTGCCGCATTTTGTACTGAATTCGCTGTGGGGAGGTTCAGAGAGCTAAGAACCTGCAACTCCCCATCTTCCCTCAACAACAGCATAGCAGTACATCGCCCGATTTTGCTGGTAAATTCTTCCTTTTCTAGATTATACTCTGCTCTGCGGCTTCTTCCATTCGGAGTCCAGGGTTTTTACTTGTGAATGGACGGCACAGGGAATGATGGTGTGGTGTGGTGGTTGAGTGGCAATTCTTCCCTATTTAGTTTACTCTGTTCTGCTAATTCTCCCATTTTGAGTCTAGGGTTTACTTGCGAATGCATGGTACAGGGGAGGATGATGTGTGCTGGTAATTCTTCCTTCTATAGTTTGCTCTGCTCTGCTAATTCTCTCATTTTAACTCTAGGGTTTGCTTGTGAATGTATGATACAGGTGGTGATTATGGGCTGGTAACTCCCCATCTTCTCTCAACAATCTTCGTAAGCATATTGAGTACATCAAACTGGTTTTACTCGTAATTCTTCATTCCCTAGTTTACTTTGCTTTGCGGATTCTTCGGTTTTGAGCCTAGGGTTTACTGGATTGAATGGTACGGGGGATGATGATGTGCTGGTAATTCTTCACTCTCTAGTTTACTCTGTTCTGTTAATTCTCCCATTTTGAGTCTAGGGTTTACTTTTGAATGATACAGGTCGTGATAATGTGCTGGTCATTCTTCCTTCTCTAGTGTACTCTGGTTTGCATATTCTTCCATTTTGAGTGTAGGGTTTACTTGTGAATGAAGGATACAGGTGATGATGATGCAGAGGGTTATTGAAAGAGAAATGGTCACTACTACAATGATAGCTTTATCAAGTTTTTTAATCATGGTCTCAACTGTGTGCAACACGGCTGAGGTGGCAGCATTGTCCTTCAGCTACAACAGCTTCGATCAATGCAGCGATTCCATCAAGCTGTACGGAGAGGCGTCTTGTATGAATTTCGGGATACAACTGACCGGCTTCGGGTATTACGTGATCGGCCAGGCCAGATACTTCAAGCCAATGCACCTCTGGGATGCCACCACGGGCGATGTCGCCAGTTTCACTACCACGTTCACCTTTGACATCAGCAGTAATGTTGACAGTAACAAAAATGGCAGTAGCAGCGAAGATGGGTCCTCGTCGTGCTGTGACGGTCTGGCATTCTTCCTGGCACCGCAAAACTACAGCATCCCAGTGGGTGGGGGAGCCAGCGGAAGGTTGGGGCTTATATATGCTAACCTCACCTATGACTCCGCATCAGAGAATCCATTTGTGGCTGTTGAGTTCGACACATACAACAACGAGTGGGATGCGTGGAACGACAGCAGCCATGTTGGGATTAATATCAACTCTCTGCAGTCTGTTTCCAGTAAGAGATGGAATTATAATGGCAATGGTACTCGTCGAATGCGTGCGTGAATTTCCTACAATAAGGATGCCAAAACGATGTGCGCAAGCTGGTTTAGTAGTAGGGATGATAATGATCAGTTCGAGTTCGAGAACACCCTTTGCTATGGAGTTGATTTGACAAATTACTTGCCTGAACAAGTAGTCTTCGGCTTCACCAGTTCAATCGCTTGGAGGTCTCATTCCCACAACATCAGGTTCTGGTCGTTAAATTCTTCCGATCCAGTCACTGCTCGGCCCAACACCACCACGAATACTACTACTACTACTACAGCAACACCAAACGGGTCATCTGGAAGAAAAGGCAGAAACAATGGCAAAAACTTGATCACTGGATTGTCCATACTAATATTGCTGGCCGGTCTTGCTCTTGCAGCAGTATGGTTATGTGTGTATAGGCGTTTCTGTTGGAGGCAGAATGCGGATAAAAGTCCGTTGGCTGACCGCGAATTGGTTAGCGCACCCTTGCGTGGTGGTAGCGAGGGGCAAGACAGCTCTAGTTCTGGTGGTAGTGCCATGAGACGACCTCGACCTCTTCACAGGATCAATGCCGGAGCGAAATACATCCCACCAGATGTGGTTAGTCGAGCCACAAACGGTTTCATTGAGGTGTTGGGTAGAGGTGGGTTCGGTGAAGTTTACAAAGAAAAACTGGACGGTAGAGCTGTCGCGGTGAAGAACCTGTTCCAGGTGGTGGCGGCTGGTGGTGGGAGAGGGAACAAGGAGGGGTACATGGCAGAGTTAACCGTGATAACACAGTTGAAGCACCACAATTTGGTTGAACTACTAAGATGGTCATGCGGCAACTCGGGTGAGCTCTACTTGGTCTATGACTACATGGAGAATGGTAGTTTGGACAGTCATCTATTCGGTCAAGAGCCTGGCCATCAACCGCTCACATGGGAAATCAGGTTCCGAATCGCCAAGGATTTGGGTTCGGGGCTACTTTACTTGCACGGAGGGTGCACTGAATGCGTGCTGCATAGGGACATCAAGCCCGCTAATGTTCTGCTGGATTCTCGTTTCAGAGCCAAACTGTCTGATTTCGGACTGGCTCGCGTGGTGGGACACGACGACCGTTCCCAGTCGTTGATCTACGGGAGCGAGGGATACCTGGCTCCCGAGGTTTTGGAGACTGGGAAGTCGACTAAAAGCTCCGACGTCTTCAGTTTTGGGGTGGTGGCTCTGCAAATAGTTAGTGGGAAGTTGGCGTATGTTATCAACAATTCAGCCCAACGTCGTCACATTGTGGAGTGGGCATGGGCCCTATATGGGGAGGGTCATGTTGAAGCTGTAGTAGACCCTAAGCTAAATGGTGTGTTTGTGGAGGAACAGGTCCGTCGTTTGTTGGAAGTGGGTCTTCACTGTGCTCACCCAGATCCCTCCCGCCGGCCTCGGATGAAGGACGCCATGGATGCACTGAACTTCAGGGATCCATTGGCATTGGCCCCTCTGCCGTTGCAATATCCCACCAACCGTAGTTCCCAGGCCGACCTCCTCTCTTCGCTGTCGCGAATCCTCGAAGAATCGCCGACAGTTTCCTCATTGCAGCAGCCAGTATTATCATCATCAGGAGTTGTTCCACCGCCACATGATCAGCCCGTCGCAAGTATCGCTAGAGCTCGGGCAGCTGTTTCCCGGCTCCATCGCACGGTCTAGGACCGCAGATTCCTTGGTGTGATTGCTGCTGCGCAGATCTTCATTCGGCCAACTCCATTTTTGTGTTGGTTTTTGCAGAATTGGTAACTGTATATTGGGAGTGTTCATTCAATAGGGATATCTGTGTATGGTTTCTGCTGCACAGTTGGTTACTTAAGTTATTACCAACTAGGGGACTTTGGGCCGCACTGCGCAGCGGCCGAGGATGGGTTATGGGCTTTCAGTGCAAGTTCGTGTGCATTCAGTTTCATATATTTTAAATTTTATTTACCTATTTCTCCTTAAAGTGTTTCCCTAATTGAAGAACAAAACAAACTTGTGATTAATGTAAATGCTAAAAGAGCAAAGGGCTGATTAACCGTGGATGTCGATACACACACTTTACGACGGGCCCAAATGAAAAAGAAAGAGTCCAAAGCTCATTGATCCATTATCATTAGCTTAATTCTTTTTTTTTTTGTAGAAAATAGATTTTTTTTCCGTTGCCTAGTCTTTCTCCCTCCCCTCCTCTCCAACTCTCTCATCCTCTCATTCATTATCGTTGTTAAAATAAATTAGAAAACCTAAAATCTAAATCCACCACTGTAGTCTCACCACACCAAACCTTATCTTTCTCTCACGACTGCCCAACTTCCAGTCTTTCAAGTTCCATAAAAAATTAAAGATGCAAATTTTTTTTTTCTCTTCCCCTCTCCTCTCCCTCCCACCCCCGTCGGTCCTAGACCTTGTCCTTCTCTTCCCAAACCCTCCTCCTACCTTCATCTAGCTGCTACTTTCTTTCCATCTTCATGTTCCCTCCAATCCCCTTCCCTTCTTTTCGTCAAGTCACAACTCCTCTTTATTGTAGTTTTAAGTTTGAATCTTGTATGTGTGATTTTTGTACCGATTTGCCTATTATTTAAATACTTGGTGACCAATCAATTGCCATAAGCATTATGTCTCATCTTCTCTATTGCAGCCCTTCCCAATTCGAAGAAATATCTTCTTCTTTTCCGATCTAAATGTACTTCTTACCGCCGCTGGCACATGTGGTTCTCTTCTAATGCATCTTCAGAGTCAGCTCCGCCATCCGTCCATGCCGAAACCCTTTTCAGTCAATAGGTGATTCGTTTTGGGTCACCACAGCTACAATTCCTCTCCAGTACAGTTTTGATGACTAATTTGATCTCCTTGCATTTGAGGTTGGGGACAAATCGTTGGGGTTGGCGGTCACAACCGAGGAAGAAAAATAACAAAGGATGAATTGAAGTCTCGATTTTGATTGGAGACCGCTGGAGCTTGACAAAAGTAAAGCAACACGAAGAGCAAAAAAGAAAATCGACGAATCGAAATGGAAGGGAAGCTGGAGGGCCTGATGGAAATCGTGAGATAGGTTAGGTTAGTGACCGGCTAGAGCGAGATAGCTACCCAGACGGGAAACACGATTGGTGAAATAAAATTAACACCCAAACAAAAGTCCAATCATCAAAACCAGCCCACAAAGCATATAGCCCATCTAGAAGCATGTAACTAAATGACTGTGACCAAGCAAAAATAACCCACAAAACAAATTAGCATATCTCTTGTGCAACAGTAACACCCTTATAGCTTTAATTATATTTAAGAAATTTTCTCAAAATATTATTGAAAATAAATATCATTTTGTAGATCACAGTGGACTCATTCTAGGTGTGCAAAATTTTTTAAAATCCAAATTAAAACAAAGAGGATAAAAATTGATGAAAAAATTAGTGAAAATAAAAAAGTCCTTAGATCTCAACCTCTTAGATCTAGCCCACTGAAAAGCAAGGGCCCATATCTGGTTATACTCCCGATCTTAGACCTTATCTTTGAGTATCATATTGCAATTATTCAATGTCTAGTTTTCGTGGCTTGTATTGCAGGACATAAAATAACCTACCATTACCTAATAATACTAATACAACGAGGCTCAAAAGCATTCATAATGTCATACATAGTCCAATATCTAAACTAAGGGTCGTACTAATGAACACCAAGCAAAATAGAGAGACCCTTAATAGCCAAACTGTCGGTTAAAAAATTACTCTCCCCAAACACATCGGATCGGGTAATAGTCCACCCCCTTTGAAAAGACTGGAGTACAGACTCGCATGCTAGCTTGACCCATACCCGATCCGCCAGGAAAATAATACATTGAAAGAAATCTATTTAGATATATAAAAATTAATCTATTACAAGTTCCTTCTACGGTACCCCGGGTGAAATCCGGGGTACCACATACCTTGAGTATTAAAACGCTATCTAGACCTCGAATTAGCAGGATTTTTGGGCATGATACAATACCCTAACCCTTAATGAGTAAACCCTAGGTCCTAATTATCTAAATCATAAACTATAAACCCTAAATGGTGCATTGATTTTTTTTGCCTATTTGGACGAATCATAACCGTCGATTATTGTTTCTAATTAAATTGATGTTGGGGTATAAGATTTAGAGAATTAAGACTTAGATTTTGATCTTTAAGGGTTAGATAATAGTTTCATGTATGAAATATTAGTCAATTCAAGTTCTGGATAGCGTTTTCTTACTCAAGGTATGCGGTACCCCAAATTTCACCCTGGGTACACTAGAACTCTCCTCTATTACAAATATTTTAAAATATAAAAGACAAAGTGATTGCTTATGAAAATAAATTATTTTAAATTTTTTATTTCGTTCTATATAAGTGAACTTTTTAGATATTTAAAATTAAGACAATAATAAGACGATCCACTCTTCCGGTTCACTCACCGGAACTATCTCTATAACCTTGCAGACCCAATCCATGAATTTTCGATCTCCCTGTAGCTCAAAGCATTGTGCCACCACCGAGTCCGCCATATCCTGTTTTCCCAAGAGCAATCAAAGAACTCATGAAGCTGCGTTTCCTATTGGTCGCAAAAGGGGCTGGCTTCACAACGCTACGGGTTCCGCTTATAAACCTGCTCTCCCGAAGCTAAAGCTTCTCTAGTAAACTTCCACATAAACACCTTCACTTTTGGTGGCAAAGTGAGCGACCAGATCAGTTTCCAGAGAGTCGGGTACCCTCCACTTCGGGGTTCATGTTGTTCATGGAACTTCCTCAACCACACCATATAGCCACTCTTGGCCGTATACTGCCCATCGACACTATCTGTCCATATCATTATGCCCTGTTCTTCTGGATTACATAGTGGAATATGTTTAATAGCGTCCACCATATCAGCTGGGAAGCAACTCTCCAAAATAGTCTCGTCCCACTTTTTCTCCTCTTCATAAATCAGTTCACGTTTAACCGAATCTACCGGGAGACCCATTGGTTGAGACTGAATAAAGTTTTTCGGAGTTGAGGGCAACTAACGATCCCACCATATGCAAAAAGTTGACCCATTCCCAATTCTCCACCTAAGACCTTCCACCAAGAAGTCTTGAGCGCTTATTAACCTTCTCCAAATGTAGCTGGGCCGCAAGCCAACCCGAGCCTCTAGGACATTGTCATTTTTGTGATACTTCGCCTTCATGAGTCGGGCTACTAGGGACTCTGGTCATTGATGTAAGTGCCAAAGCTGTCTCACCAGTAAAGCTTGATTAAAACCCTTCAAGTCTCTGAAACCCATCTCACCCTGCTCCTTTGTACAGATCAATGCTTCCCTCGCCACCCATGGAGTTTTCCTCTTGTCACCTTTCTGACCCCACCAGAACCGGGTAATTGACCCATGTATCTCATCAAGTATTTCATCGGGAACCTTAAAAACCGACATAGTGTAAGTCAGTTGAGCTTGAGCAACCGATTTTATTATAAATTCTCTCGTTGCAGCTGACATCGACCTCTCCTTCCACCCGCCAGCTTCTTTCGAACACGGTCCTTATGGTAGATGAAAAGATCCTTTTTGGATCGACCAACCTCCGTCACGAGACCTAAGTACTTGTCATGTTTATCCACTGCCTTCATTCCCAGAGTAGAGATCACCACTAGTCGCTAGTGCGGCTTCACATTAGCTCCAAACGTCACATCCGTCTTTTCCAAACTAACCAGCTGGCCCGAATCCTTTTGATAATCTGCAAGCACCCTTCTCAACTCTTGACTCTCATTTTATGTTGCTCTACCAAAAAAGATAGATTCGTTAGCAAAAAAGAGGTGTGAAATAATTGGGGCTCCTCTGGCCACCGATATCCCATGGATCTTTTTCTGATTGACTATGAGAGACATATATCATGATAAACCCTACGCAACCAGTAGAAAAAGATACGGTGACAGGGGGTCTCCTTGTCTTAATCCCCTGCTCAGAATAAACGTCTGCGATCTATGCCCGTTAACCAGAACCGCATAAGAGACAGATCTAACACTCAACATAATCACTCGTATCCACCTTTCTGCTAAACCCAACCGCTTCATCACACCTTGCAAGAACCACCACTCCATCCTATCATAAGCCTTAGCCATATTCCTCTTGGTCGCCAAATAACCCATTTTGTTTTTGGTCTTCTTCTTCATATTATGCAAAACACTCAAAAGTTGTCATAACATTATCTGCAATAAAACGTCCAGGGACAAAAGCACTCTGTATCCGGTGAGATGATCTTGTCTAAGAGCACTTTTAGTCTGTTCGCTAAAGCCTTCGACAATATCGTGTACATCACGTTACACAGGCTGATAGGTCTGTAGTCTGTACTCTTTTTCCATTATCAGATCCTTCACATTTGGAATTAAAGCTAGTAGCGTGTGATTCATGTTGAGGCACCACTTCATTCTCAACCACCCCGAGCAACTCTATGTAACGTCATCGCCGATTATATACCAGTACTTGAGGAAGAAGAGTACAAACATTCCATCTGCTCCCGGCGCTTGCCTTTTGCCATCTGCCGAAGAGCCCAGAGGAGCTCCTCTCTAGTTAGCAACATTAAAAGGCCATCATTCATATCCTCCGTTACTCGGGTTCCCACCGACTCCAAAACTGGGGTCATCTCCGAGCGCTCTCCTGTCGTAAAAAGAGAGAAAAAAACAATTAGTAAAACATTG